ACAACCTGAATGGTGAACCTAACAAACAAACAAAAAAAGGTGCTTTGTCAAATTTCCCTGGGTTCCAACCGATATCGGTATAATCAAAACAAGAAGCTATTAGGAGGACAGGAATATTTCACGCAACACAAAGCAGAGACTTACTAAGAACTGCGACCACCCACTTTCATTTTCTCTGGGTCCCTATATGGTTCTTCCTTACTACTTCTGTGTATCTATTTCATTCCTTCATTCTCTGCAGTTTGTTTTGCTTTGCATCCCCACCCCAAAGCCCTACAGTTCATACGTTATTGCTAGCTACACGCAGAGACCAATTCTAAATTAATGGACGGGAGAAACAGAGGGGCCTAGCTTAAGGCAAGCATCATCTCTGCTCTAATCTCCTTTGACCAGAGGTGCAGGGTCATGTGGTACAAACAGGGCGGCCTGCAAAGCCCTTAATTGTTCTCAGAGAAATCAGTATAGGTGGAGCATAAACCTGAAAACTAATCACTTATATCTACCAGTCAGGTCTCTACTCTCCCCCCATACCTACACGGTCTTACAACATGTAGTTTTGACTAACTAGCAAGCTGGGAAGATTAAACTGTTGGGTCTCCTTTCCCTGTGGGTAATTTTCCCTCTGGTGGCAAGTGTCTGAGGCATTTGACTGCTAACCAGAAGGCTGTCGGTTCAAGCCCACCAGCCACTCCTTGGAAGGAAGGTTGGGCAATCTACTTCCGTAGAGATACTGCCTCAGAAACCCAAGGATGGGTCACTATGAGTCAGATCTGGCTCGATGGTAGTGAGTTTGGTTTTTGAATTTTCCCTCACTTACTCCGACTTTAAATTTGTACTTCCATAAGGTGTAAACAATTCTAAAAATGCTCTACTTCTGAAATAGATAATATGCAAACCATTTCAAGTATATAAATGCATAGCCAAACAGCACCTTGATTTGTATGGCCACAAGAATTTTTAATTGTTGCCTCAAACTTCAGGGCATCTCTGATTCAAAGGTTATGCAATCAATCATGGGCAGGAGTAGGTTGCTGTTTTTCATATCATAACGTGAATTCTCTGCAGCTCAAATGCCTGGCTAAATATGTACTGATGTTTAACAACTTTCTGAGATTGATGGGGAAAATATAATTATATCCAAGACTGAAAAGATGGGGTGAACTAACCCAAAGTATCCCATGTCCTGAAAGTTGGCCGGAAAGATACATGCTAAAAATATTGAGGTATGCACAAAGAATCTGAGCAATGAATTTTTCACAATTCTGCATCATTAAGAAGCATTTACAAATATCGAGGTCTTCAGAATATAACTTAAAATTACTATGGAGTGTTATTCCTCTGTAACAACAACAACAAAAAAAAACATTGATTTGGATTCACGGAGACTCCAAGTGCCACTAAGTGAGTTCAAATTGTCAAGTTTTAGGTTAGTAGTCAAGTGCAATTCATTTATTTCTAACATGTCAAATTTATGCCAAATTTGTTCCCATGGTGAATGGCCTTTGTAGCTTGGAGTAGGAGAAATGTAGTTTTCATTATCCTAAGTGTTAAATGTTTTATTATAACTTCTTGCTTTGTTTCTTTTGGCCACACATCTCAAAAAGTTAACACAACATCAATAGCTAGATAATGTCTAATTCTCCTAAACATCACTATCGGAGAACTACTTTTCTCCAGTTCTGTGCCTTTGGTGGCGTCCCGGTGGTGCAAGTGGTTAACATGCTCAGCTGCTAACTGTACAGTTGGAGGTTCAAGTCCATCCAGAGGCACCTTGGAAGAAAGGCCTGAAGATCCACTTCTTAAAAATCAGTCATGAAAACCTTATAGAGCACGGTTATACTCTGACATGTGTGGCGGCCAGCATGAGTTGAAATCAACTGGACAACTGGTGGTTAATATCTAGGAATTACTCAACAGCTGGCAACTGGAAAACTTGTTCTTGATGTCAGGAGTTACCACATTACCACTGACAATATTCTCCAAAAATGCTTTGATACAGCAAGTTTGCCCTGAAGAGGTTGCCAAGTGTGATAATATTATCTGTGTCTTTTTAATTAACACACAGTATCGAAGCCCAGCGTAACAGGGCTCCTTCTCCAGTTAACCCTTAACAACCTAACTCACCATTCATGATACTCTTAAGATCAGTGTCTCCTGCTCAAGCTTAACACCAGCCATTTCTCTTAACTCTTTTTTTTTTTTTTTATTGATTTGGTTGAAGATTTACAGAGTAAATTCACTTTTCATACAGCATCTTAACTCTTTCTTGTGAGCTACATTTCTATTAAATATTTAAGTGGCTGTCGACTGAAATCCTTATCTCATTGTAACTTTATGATGATACATTCAAAGCAGACTTAGGGGTACTCTTCAGTCCAATCATCACATATATGTATTTTAAGTTTGACTCCATGGCTCACTGCCTGTCATCTACAGTGTAAGAAATGTCTTCGGGTCACCCACAGACAAATCCTCATGCATGCAAAAATTAGCATATGTCATTTATACTTTTTAGATTCTATTTTCTTAATTAATAATCTTTGTCACATGCAGAGATTGAAGTATTCAAGATTTCTAGTGGCTTGATGACATGATTTTCCAGAATTTGTTCCAAGTTTCTTTTATAATCATTATTTCTATGAAGTCATTCAACTTGGAAATAATTGCTTGCCAAAACTGAGGTTCTCTGGTGAACAACTCAAACAGCTTTAGTTTTACAAAGAATACCGTTCTTTGTGTGCTGTTAATCTTGGCTTAGAAACACCACATACTATCCTTCCCACTTGAACAGTTCAGCTCCTGTTCTCTTATACTTTGGACCCATTAGACTTACTGCTAGAATACAAATGTGTGAGTCACCTAGTTGGTGACTCTTTGAAAACAGATTTCCAAGTATAGATACATGGACCCTCTCAGCCCAGGGCAACGTGCTAGTTGTCAAAAATTGTGAGGACTCCCCAAATATTCTCCAAGCCTGCCTTCTATATTTAAAATAAATAAAATTTTAGCATTTTATTACATGGGGTTTTGTTATTTAAGCTGATTTTACTTGCTGAAATTAAGTAGCTAAAATACCAAGTTCCTGTACTTGACACAGGAGTTAAATTATTATTTTCTTCCTACGAAAAGATTAGAAAGCACTTACTCTTTTTTTGCTTTCAATTGTATTTAAGGCTGCACTTCTTAAAAAAATATATTTTTAAATTTGATAGGCAAAAAAATATATTTTGTGGATTACTCTACTAAAAACAAAACAAAAAAAGTTTTTAGTAGACTAATCCACAGAATGCCTGGACTTTTTTTGCCTATCAAATTATAAAATTTTTTTAATCTACTAGATACAAAATAATTTGTTATCAATTTATTTTCTTACCTAATTGACTTAAAAGCCATCAAAAGAGAACATTGACAGCATGGATCTGACTTAAAAACACAAAGTACTCAACAGATACATGGCCATTGTGGAAAAAGAAATTGAAATTGCTTTCCTATTTCATGTTCACAATGCAACCTCTGAAGGCAAAGGATTTTCCCTTGTCAAATCCTAGTGAAACTGTGTCTCCATGTCTTCCAAATCCAGAGAAACTGGGTCATGGATAATTACCAGGCAGGACATGTTTGTAAAAGTGATTTGCTCGTGACAATGCTGTATAAAAATCAACATACTTCTAAGTGAAAATATGATACGCCACATGATGCTACCTCATCAAATGAGAATTCAAGGCCACATTGAAAGGGGTAATTTCTAAAATGACAGGAAAGTTGTGAAGATGCTAGAATTGTGTAATTTAAAAATATGCACACTCTTAAAAGTTAGATATTAAATATATCATAGGCTTATACGTGATTTACAATTATTTTCTTTTTAGCAGGAAAAAAAAATAATGTGAACCTCTTAAAATCTGAAGGTTCACATCAAACACAAGAAAGTTACAAATGGTTCAGTTACCTATGATTGTATTTATACCTTCAAGAAATTCTCCTGGAAAACTTACAAGTGAATTTTATTGTATGTATAATTTAAATTGCTTTCCAAATATGCTCACCATTTATACACACTCAAGGGTTTCTGATGGGGAATCTTGACCTTACCTTAATTTTAAGAATTTTACAAACACACACACTCTGAAAACTTAGTGCCTATTAAAAAATGGAAATAATGCAGGAAAGCTTGCTTAAACATACCTTTCTGAAGGCATTGAAAATTAAACAAAACCAAAATCCAGTATATCAAACTCTTCAGCTACTCCTGTTTCCATTGTGTATTTATAAACTAGGAAAAATGATCCACTAGTCTATGCTGCCTCTTCTTTCTGTGGATTTTACAGCAGTACAACAGATGGAGCACAGAGCATTGTTAGGGCAGTGAAATTATTCTGTACGGCAGTGTAATGGACACATGACATTATTCATTTCTCAAAATCTACAGGACTGTACAATACAGAATTAATTCCAATGTAAAACTATGGACATTAGTTAATAATGATGTATCATGCATATCAGTTGTAACAAATGTACCACAGGAATGCACGGTATTAATAAGAAAAACCTTGCAGGGGAGAGGGGATATTATCGGAACTCTCTATACTTTCTGCACTTTTTCTGTA